AAGGGAAAACGGAGGAAATAAAATGTATGAATGCATGGCCCTTTAGGGCTTCCGTAAATATAGATTTTTAATTGTTTACTTTTTGTTTGTACATTTCTTGTTCAGTCTGAACTGTACTGAGTCTAACTGAATAGGTGTCGGCTCCAGTCAGGGTATTCGTGTGCATGTGTGAGAGTGTCTGCTACTACTCTGTTGGAGCACTGCATGTGTCATTGATTGACCAACAGTTATTCACTGAAGCCCACGGTGTGTAGAGATGATTGACAGGTTTGGATTAGCAGCTCAAAACCCCACTGCTCTGTCGTGGGTTTACCCTGTTGGTCAACACCACACATCGGTGGAGAAACAGACATGCACACACACACACGCACAAACACACACACGCACGTAAATGCTTGCAAGCAGGTGCGTACAGACACACCCACACACGGACACACACACAGAACTGAAGTACATTGTGAGTCCTAGGCAGTGGAAGTTTTTAAAGTTATTACAGGCTGTCAGTATTCAGTGGAACCTGTCTTTTAAACAAGCAGCTTGCAACAGCCCTAATGAATGATCTGACAAGTTTGGAAATGGAGACCAGACCTGCAGAGTACAGAAAACAAAAATCATGCCAAATGATTTTGCAATAGTGAAAACAAAATTAGATGTACAACCATCATTGTTAAAATGCAAAAATATTTTTTCAGTGAAATATTGAGATTGAGGCATTTTAAATGTTGTACAGTATGACTACTGCACATCTAGATACAATTATGGGTACCTTTGTTGTCTTTATAAAATATTTAGTACCAGAAATAACATATCTCAGTGGGCTAAAGCACAAGCACACACAGTAATTGCAACCAAAGTCAAGATTTCACTCAAAGCATGGTCAAAATCATCTAATTTATAAACCTAATATGATGCAACTATATTACAACACTGCAATGTGGAAAGAGCTTTGATTTTTTTCTTCTTTTTTTACTTTTACAGTGTTAATTAAACATGCAACAATACAAATATAATCCAGTTTGGTTTGATTCACAATATTCGATTCGATGTTTTTTTCAAATTACCTGTACACAATAAAGTGAACAGACAATTCACTTCACTTTGTGTGTAAATGCAGCTTGCTCCCTGAACTGCAAAATAATGCATAAACTTTCTTCTTAATTGAGATATACAACAATGCATGCCTATTTTCTTTCCTTGATGACATCTATGAAAGTTGTGGCAGATGAGCAAAGGATGCAAGTGAGGCAGCGTTCATCCCCAAGTCACAGAATGGTTTACAGCCCATCCCAGGATAGTATCACTTTTGCTTCCTCCTCACTCTCCATTCCTCAACCACACAGAGGAATTCTTTTCCTCATGGAGGTGGAAATTCTATGATCACCAGCCACATGATCAAATGTCCTTCTTCGATACAGTGAAGACACTATATCTGGACCTAACTGCAGAAGACTGACAGGGATGGATAAGGGATGCAAACAGATTCTCTCCGAGGTGTACTGGACTAGTTTTGTATTGCATTACTGGATTTTCTTTGTGTGCTTTGAATTGAAAGAGGCAAAATAAATAAAGTCTATTGAAGCATATTGCAGCTTTTTATTCATTTCTGTGACATAGTAGACAAGTAGCACAATGCGTGGAATAAAGAAGTGCCTGTCATTTTGTGCATTTTGGTTGTGAGATTAACCATTATGCTGAGCTGTGTGTCTGTAAAGAGAAGTTCCTGAACAGTTTTAAAAAAGTGAACTCAGTGAACTGAATGCGTGTTACAAATTGTAACTAAAACTGTTTTGTTTGTATTGTGTGTGGCGTTTTTGTTAAGCAGACAAGACACAAAGGATAAAAAATATACAGCTTAGCCTCTTATGTGTGTTTTTATTGTGTTTCAGTTCCGCTATAAAAGACGTGTCTACACTCAGACTCATCTGGATGAAAAGCAGCTGTCTAAGCTCCACACCAAGGTAAGAGTGAACTGTGCACTCTGTGATCCTGGCATCTGTAGACGTCATGCTTTGTGCAACCTTTCATGGTGGCTGTATGTGTTTATTGGTTGATTCATGCGTAATTGTACTCCCTTTAGGTCAAGAGCTTTGAATAAGGATGATGTGTGCTCCTAAACAAGGCATAGGGTATGCTTTAGGGTGTGTCTAACTTGTGATTGAAGTCATTCTCAGTGAGTCCGTCCATGTGTAATGCACAGGCTCTCTTTTTGTCTCTCTCTCACATACACGCACCACACACACAAAGATGTTTTTTAGCTTAGTTTGTGGATGCACTGTTCTAAGTTCCCAGTTACTGGATTTAACCTATTTCATCACGCCGCAAGCAGCAACCAGCTGAGCTGACCACTGGATTGTTGTTTGTTGCTGGAATGCACAGCACCGTTTTATGTGTGTTTAAGAGAGAGAGGGGGAGAGAAGGAGCAAGGTGAACTATTGCACGCAATGTTTCTGAAATTTATTAACAACTTACTAAGGCCACTGCTTTGTGACTTGAGACGCCTACCCACAAGTCTGCCCGTTGTGGGTCGAAAACAACAACAAAAAACATTTTGACTAGAAAGTGGACTTAAAAAAGGTTTTGAGTTGTCATCAACGAAAACTAAAGTAAAACTATGAAGGATAAAAATGACTAAAGTGTGATTAAAACAAAAAAGCTGCTTAATTTAACAGCAAAAAAAAAAAAAAAAAGACCCAAAGAGGTAACACTGGCAGACGGTGGTCAAGGGCAGGCAGGTGGTCACAAACACAGATCCAGAGAGACAGAATAGGGCAAAGACACAGTAGGACTATTTAGCAACCTTGACAATCTGGCGGTGTGTCAATACAGGTGGGCACTGTATACTATGACTAGTGAAGTAATGAGGAAGAAGTGTGCAAGCAGGTGACTAATCATCATCTCAAACGGGAACTCAGTGGGGACGACTAGTGGACAGATGAATAATGGCCAGGTAAATATTAATACCAGTAGACATTAGTAGTGGAACAATAAGGTAGAGCAATGAAACGTATAGTGTGTGTGTGTGTGTGTGATCAGTGAGTCAGACAGCAGAGAGAATTGAATGCATTTACATCAAACCCCATCAGAGGGCAGAAGATTTACACTTGAGAGAAATATCAGTGTCACTTATGTGTTTTTTGTGTGTGTGTGTGTGAGAGAGAGAGAGAGAGAGAGAGAGAGAGAGAAATAATGGAGAGCTGCTGGATAGAAATTGTAGAATTGCAGGTTTGATCATGTATGCATGTATCAGTCCGTTTGTTTCACCCTTGTTATTGTTAAGCTCAACTTAACTTAGAAAATAACATTTTAGTTTTTCAGTGTGTGCTTATTTGTCATCAAATACTATTGAAACACGCCTTACATAATAATCTGATGAATAAAATACAAAGAAGTAAGACAACAAAGTAAGCTGCTATCACCACTTATGTGTGACTAATGCTGTTAGATGTGCTATTCTTGTAGTTAATATACTAATGCTGGGGAGAACTGTTTAATGACTTTGTAGTAAGCTTCATACACAAATGGGTGACCATTTAAAGGAAAAAACTATACAAACCTCCTAGTTTCTGGAACCCTCTTCATTCTCCCATAGATTTTCAATTGATTCACATCGCGCTCATTCTCATTAAACCAATAAATGACCCCTTTAATTTGTCACCAATATGTATTCCGCATGAGAAGCTTTGATTATATTTGTTTAGACTTGTTATCATAGTTTGAGGAAATAAACCATAGTAAAAATACGATCAAGTCCAATCAGTGTTATCACGGTATTGTTAAAATGTGCTGAAAACTTTTAAAAAATGCTGACACACACACACACACACACACACACACACACACACTGCACTATGTTGTACTACACTATAGTACACTATAGTCTTTGTTCTTTTGGCATATTTTTTACAATCAATTCAATGACAGATTTCAGAGAAATATGTTGGTTGGTGACTAAACTACACGCTGTGTGCAGTGGGCTGCAGACACACAACACATAGAGCAGCAGAACAACGGGTAGTGTACAAGAGTAGGTAATACTGAAAGCTTCAGTTTACATTATTGTCAAGCCATTAGCAAGTTAAACGGACAAACCATGACATTTTCCCCAATTCTGGAGTCCCCACATCAATCATTGAACCTATTGTGACATCAACCTTGGGTTGTGGACTACTGTTTCAGATTCAGCAGTCGTGACTGTGAGTTGTACTTTTTTACCTTTGTATGTTTCTTTGTCTGTTTCTCAGCTTTCAATGTAAAGAGCAGACAGCACTTCAGAACTATCAGTCTAGTCCAGGACATTGACAAATACTGTTCTATATACAATAAATGAACAGAGTTGTGGCCACAGGCATGGTTTTTGCAGATATGTGGCAAAGGAATATCTTATCTTATCTGATCTTATCTGATCTTATCTTATCTTATCTGATCTTAACTTATCTTATCTTATCTTATCTTATCTTAGGGCCTTTTTTGTCTGGGTCCAGTTCCTTGCGAGGGACTTTTCAACATTTAGTTTAACATTTGGGAAGTGGAGGCTAAAATGTGGCCTTCTAAGAAATAGTGAATGAGAGGGAGATGCAGTAAAGCAGTGATGAGAAGGATGAGTCATGCTATCAAATATTGTTTTTTGTCTAACCAGTCTGGTGTGAGCTGCTGCCGTCTGCTACTATACTACATTGCTATGACAAAATATATGAGTGGTACTCAGTTGACATACTCAGCCAAGATCAGTTTTTGCTCAGCTGCAATTTAGGTGGTAATTTCACACAATAAATCATCTACAAAGAGGGAATTTCTCGTGATTGGCCTGCCCTGCCTTGGAACTGTTGAAAAATGAAAAAAAGAGTGTGATTCTCCGAGCCACTTACACTTTGTCACTGAACAGACACCTGAATGTGTGAATGGGCTATGAAAGCCACCATGGTGTTTGAGCTACGTATTTTTTTTTAGCAAAGAGTAATACAGGACAGCTGTGTTACTGGAGAGAATGGGGATAGTAATTTGGCAAAACAAGCTCCAGAAGCAACCACAGTAAATTGCTGTTTTCCTTTGTTACTAATCTGCATGCATCTGAAAACAGAAGCAGACTTCAGTATGTTTGCTGTACTATGGAAGAACGGATATGCTTAATATACGCAGATGTATGAAATGTTTCCCCTTAAAATACTTTGCACACTTTACACACAAAACTCTGACGTAAGTGGTATATTAATTATTTGTAGTAATAGTAGTAGTAAGCTAATTATTCAGGCATTAATGTTAAAGGCTTTTTACAGGTCTCTCTGTCTGTGCAGTAGTAATGAAAAAATATTTGCTTGGGCTTGCATTAGCAAAGATTAGCTTTAAGCATCTGATGTCACAAAGTAATGTAACATTGATGTTTTCCCCTCTCATTCTTTTTTCTGAATGACAAATATGCTTTTGTTGCATAATGACTTCCAGGGGGAAAGAGGAATATCCTGTTATGGGTGATGCCTTGGCAATTACAGTGTTCACTATTCATCCTGTAGCCAGCTGCCCTGTTAGGGAGAGGTCAAGCATTAGCCTACTTTGCTGGTATGGTGCTCATTAGCTGCAGGCTAAAGTTTAAAATGAGGTCATAATTGATAGGACTTTGCTATTTTTTTTTTTCCCTCTTCACCCGACCCAACCAGACCTCCTAACCCCGAAACTGTCCTGGTTATCTGTGCAAAGTGGCTGCATAGATAATTTACATGGTATACCTTTAGGGAAAAAAAAAAAAAGGGGGGGGGGGGGGGGGGGGGGGGGGGGGGGGGGAACTTGGTGTAGATGGTCTCGGTGGTGTATAGACAAGACTGCAGAATGAGTGGCTTTCTTAATGTGTTTCAAAGGGCTTCCAGTGATGAAAATTGTCAAGTTCCTTTTTTTTTAAATAATCATTAATCATTTAATTTCATAATTTAATCATTTAAGCAAATTGCATATCCAGTCACTAGCAGGATCTTTGATTTAAAATAAGGTTCTGTGGGTTTGTACACTTCTTTGCCACCCATGACTTTGTAACTAAGAACTGATGGATTGCAGGAGACCCATATTCCACCAAATGAATGAACAGTTCCTCACAAGATCACCTCCCTCTTGCTGTCTAGTAACATTGCGGAGGATTGTGGAGCAGAACGGGCTTCCGTACAACAGCAAAGCTAACGCAGTATGAAGCGATGTAGCTCCAGAAAAAGCAACAGTTACAGGCTTCCAATCTATGACTCTTGTTATTTAATTGGCTACAAATGAGGTTTAATGTTCACAGTTTCCCCTAATGTAGCAGTAGCCACAAGCTGTGCAACATGCTAAAGCAAAGTTTAATTAAATTCAATTCAATGTTATTTGTATAGTGCCAAACAAAAGTTACCTCAGGACACTAGGATAGAGCAGGTCCAGGCTGTAGTTGTTATTCAGCAGGCTAAACAACAAAATTAACACTAAAACAACATACAACATGGCAGAACGTACAGCTTCCAAGTTTAAAGTTGGGTAACAGACAGCCGTATACATTGTCGATCCATCATTGAGGGTGAACAGTTCGCCCCTCATTAAGAAAGCAGTCTGTAGTTATAAAATTTACACACAAGTTGCCATTAAAAATACTATAACATAACTATACACTCAGCTCTTCTGTCCTCTGAGGCTGGGGGCCAATGTAGTGATTTTTTCTTGTTTTTATTTGACATTGAGTCAGTTAGCTTGGAGATGAGTAAATGTTTCAGTATTAAACCATATGATTACAGAACAGAACCACATTTGTTGAGTAAGATGTATTTGAATATCATTGCCGTACATGATGTCATTTCTAACAATATATACAACATAACATTATGTCCTTCCAGCCCCTGAAATTAATGGCTTGGAAAAATAACACAAGCTATTTTACAAAAGATATAAATATTGACCAACCAATCAACTAACTGACCAAAAGTGTCAGCTCTTTATAAGATGATAGAAA